CATAATCAAAATAAAAACATTAATTTCTATTGGCACATTTTTTTTTATTATTTTTTCTTTTTTCGTGGGGAAATGCCTCATGCAGACTCATCATGGCCGCGCCATAGTATTGGGGACCCGGGTTCCCTTTCGAAGTCTACCGAGCCGTTGGCACATAATACAACCTATCCCAACTTATAAATTTAACGGTCGTAAGTTAATACTCAAAAGGTTCTGGTGTCATTTCCGATCAATACTCGGATGATGGAAAACACCGTCAATAAATCAAATTAATATGAGACATGGAGCTACCACCATGTTTGCATTGTGTCAAGTTGGATTCAAATATACTCGATGTAATATGGATATGTTGAGTAATGCATTTCTAACAATGGTAACAATTCATTACCATATGCCTCTAGCTACACACTAAGGACAACAACAGTCGTGAACATTTTTTTTATTTTATAATCTAAAATATAATAAATATGAATGTTGTACGTAAGCAAGGATATTTGAACGAACGATGTAAATATTCCACACGAAGCGTTCTAAATATCCGACACATCACTGAATTATGCGCCCATTCCGACATTATCCAGAGACTCGACAACATTAGGTATATTAATGATGTTGATGTTTGTTTATTTAAGCTTAGGTGATGTTTTCCGTTTCAAAGTAAACTTGCTCTCATATCTGGTAGTGTTACATCATAAAATGCGCACATGAAAATTGAATAAGTACTTTATATGAAATAAATATTCATCAAAGGATTTTTTTTATACAACTTAGAATGGCAAACAAGCTGACGGCCCATCTGATGGAAAGTAGTAACCGTTGTCTATAGACATGAGCTGTACCATGGACATAACAGAGTATACTGTTTCGCCTATGATACTCCCCATGCGTTGCCATTCCTGAGGACTCAGGTGTTATTCCTTCGTACCGAGTAAATTTCACGCCATATCCCACCCTTCAAACCGAAACATAGGGACAATGGGACAGAGGTACCCAAGCAATCAACTTTTGTACAAAGTCTCCCTTCCTCATCAAAAGTCATTATATTTTTAAATAATATATTAACTACACTATTATATAATTAAATTAGATATAAAAATTGAAAACCATTTATCTTTTATTGGTATGAATATTCTCAAATAAACAAGAAATATTCCATAACACACATATTGCCCTGTACCTAGGTAGTACCTATATAAAAAATTAATTACAGTGTATTGTACTGTCTTTGTTGTTAGTTCATGTCTATAGAGACGACGTTTAGCAATTTCTATAAAATAGGGCGTTAACTTGTATACTATTATATACTAAGTTACATCAACATATATAAGTAATTGTTTAAGACATGTTAATTTTAACTAACAATTTTGTTAGAAATAGTAATTTAATATCAAATAAAACTTTAAAAGTGCGGTCGCCTGTAATGAAAATGTTTTTAAAACTTAGAAAATGGTTAAAAAAATAAGAATAACAAAATTTTATATATTTGTATATGCATTACATGAAGTTAAAAAAATCACCAGCTTACAAAAATGCATTTACCACTTATTATGCCTATGCCGGCCATAGCTCAGCTATGGAATTATACTGTGGAATAATAGTACGGACGCATCCACTTTTTTACTATTAAAAAGAAACTAAGTACTTCGTATATTAGTTAATATAAGTAAACGCGATAGTTGTAAATATTTTCAGGAACATAGGATATTCACTTTGGCCTGTATGTATAGTACCTATACCCTACCTAAATTTATACGCAAATATACAAATTTCTTTAAAACACGCGAAGATAAATGCACAAAATATTATTTAAGACACAGAAACTGCTTTTACCATCATCTTTATTGGCTATGCATTTTGTGGGTTCCTTTATATCAACAATTAAAATATATAACAAATTGCTTGAATTGAGTGAAATGAATTTACTTGAAGACACGATGACATTGCAGTTAGCTGAGGGTTACAAGTATATTTGGACCATTCTCAATAGCAGTCTATGAGGAAGGCCTATATTCGGACTGGATAATAAACTGTTGATAAAGTAACGACGACAAAACACTTCAAAACGCTACCTAAATGAATAGAATTATGCCTAGTTTGAACCTGGAAACAAGAAGTAATAGAATGTAAAATGTCTTCAAAATTTAAAACTTACCTACTAGATGGCGCTATTACCTCAAATATTTTGCAGATAGCTGATGTTGTATGCAATCGGTTCTGGATCACTTTTTATGAAAGAGAAACGCTTCTTGCCAATGATTAACTAAAATTATAATAATTATATAAAATTTCAAGGCATTAAGTACTTCAGTGGCATTATTAAGTCCATTAAACTCGTGACAAACGGTTAACGTAAATACCTACAAAAAAAAAACCAGCGCTAAGATGAACACATGGTTATTTGATGAAAATGTATTTTTTTTTATATTTTAAGGGCTTTTACCTTAAAATATAAAAAAAAAGATGAAAATGTAAGTCTTAATATATGTTCGATGATAACGTATAGTAATTATAGAAATTATTTTTCAAGCAGTTTAAATTTTCAACAGTAATGTTACAAAGTTCTAATGAACTTATATTCCTTAAAAATATAATAAAAAATTATTTTATTGTATATGTGTATTACTCATTTTACTTAATTATAGATAAAAGAGTAATATATCTATCATCAGTATCACTAATAGTCTATCATGTAAAGGAAAAAGATTTTTAGTAATGAGGTCTAATTGTCCCATTGCTAGCAATACCCTATCAGGTCGACTTTTAAACAGTTCCCCCTAGAAAGCATCGTGTGTAATTTTGTATTCGTCACGATGAGCCTATTGACCGGCTTCATCTTCACCTATCCATATCTTAATGGTGCTTCATCAATGTATATTATTATATTATCTGTGACCAATGTAAACCGATGCACAGATATAGTTACCGATTCATTTTCATCCATTAATAAGCTCTTATTGGTACTCTGTCAGCATATACTAATAGTACAGAACTACTAAAAAAGACCTTATTTTATAAAAATTAAGAAAAAATCGCGACACTAAAAACTAGTGAACGCATGGCACGTGATGGAAATTGGTCCAATTACTATAATTTTAACCATCTGTTAATTACCACTTTTTATTCTTAAAATGTCGAAAGTGAAACTAAAACCTAAGTGTCCAACAAGTTATTTTAATATTATTTTATATTATTATAGTGGTTACTTTATGTATCCCTTTCCTACCCACATCTAGAGATAAAAATTCAAAAATCGTTTTGATTCTATATTATCTTCATGTATTTGTGACATTATCTATCTAGTTATTGCTCATTAGTTGGTAGTTTTCAAAATTTATGCTATCTAATTAAAATAGATTTGGTTTTTCTTATCTAATAGGTACTGTTAATCATTATAAACTTATTTGTTCAAATTGAATTCAATAATAATTCACGTACTTATCTACGGTTATATAGCAACTTTTGTAGCTACTGTATCTCGGCACGTCCTACGTTTATTTTGATCACATCAGGCTCGATTCGAGGTTCCGAGTTCAGACTTATTTAGGAATTGAATTTTTATATCGAGTTAGGTGTACGTGATGTAGGTTATCATGTAGTGTTTGCTATATATATGTAAAATCCTGATGTATTTTTTATAGAACTAAGATGGCAAATAAATTACACAGTCCATCTGATGGTAAACGGTCACTGTAGTACTGTAGACTATGAATGCCGGCAACATTAGGAGTGTCATGGATCGATTCTGAAGAAATAATCACCAATAATTTTAATAACATGCGCCAAAATAAAAAAAAATTAACATATACTATTTTTATATCTACCTACGTGAGAAAGCTGTTCGCACCTCTAGGATAGCTCCGCTCAGTACCTTCTATACGCTCTCGATATTCTGCAGAGACGAGTTATCCATAACGTGGAAGATGTTGAGGTGAGCATAACTCTAGAACATATGCAATTGTAATTACTTAGAAATGAAGTCTCCTTCAGTGTATTCAGTTCCCTATTTTATTTTAAGTACCCAGAAAAACTTCATTTCCTTATTTTACCTTCCTCGTTCCAATATCGCACAATGAGAAAAGGCCAGCGGCTACATCCATACACTGTAGACCGCCCGCGCTCGCGTATAAGTAAGTTTGCCAACTCTTACGTGAACTGCAGCTTAAAAATGTGGAATTACCTTTCCCGTAACGTGTTTCCTTCGTCCTATTTTTTTTTCAGTTGATCGTGTTCAAGAGCAATATTATGTTTGTGTTCGCACAAAATGGTGTGGTTAAATGTCGTGCTGTAATAAAAAAAGCAAATAATGCGGAACTCATTATTTTACGCCTAATGGAAATTCTCAAAATTCTTTTTAGCAGACTTTATAAGTTACGTAGATACCTCTAAACAAAATTACAACTGATAGGAGGAATATCATATTAAAATCTAGAGGAATTACAGAGTCACCAGATCAACACACAAATTTCGTGACTACGCATTAAATGGTATTTCGTGTAAAATTAGATTGCAACTCACACGCCTATGCGAAGCCTTCTCTCACAAAGTTCTCAAAAGTCTGCCATGGATACTATCACATAAGATATAATTATTACAATTTCTTTTTTCTTTGTCATTTCCTATTCCTATCAGCAGTCGTTCTCTGATTCACACTTCTCATAGCCGCCTATATTATTATCATATATTTTTTTTATTTCTTTAGTCATCCCTCCCTTTTACGTTACATAAGGAAACTCAGTCTGCAAAATATAGAATTAGCTATTGAAATTTTGTTATCAATAACATTTTATTAAATAGAATAAACAATATTAATAAATTCTTCATAGAATCAAGCTACAGTAAATTAAGTTATATTATTTTTTTGTATTGTTTTATAATTATATCTGTCAATAATGTAAAGAGATTATTAAATTATTGTTTGCATTGTTAATATTTAAAATTAAAAAAATACTTCATTATTTCCACAAAACCAACATTTTATTAATTTTGACATCATAGGGGACACAATCGCGTTGATATTTTAACCACAGTATCTAAAGATCTTTATAAAAAGCTTTTATAATTATTCTCTGTTAACATGGCAAGGAAAAATAATACACCTCGTTTTAAGCTGGTGTTTTTATATCCATACAAAAATAACATCAATAAATAAATAATATAAAAGCACAATAATTACATATTGTATTAAATTTACAAGTTGAATTAATCCATAAAAAAGCGTCTATCAAAAAATAATACGTACAATATTTTTGGATGAAAATATAATAATTACTTATTGTAGAATAAATTTTAACTAAATCTATATTACTGAACATAATACCTAATACCTATTACTCTTTGATAGACAGATTTTCATTCAATATGAACTTTTAAATAATTAATATGCGTAAGTACATTTCATGCCAAGACATCTACATGTGTTAATTTGCAAATAAATTATATAGATACAAGAAATTAACTTAGTACTTATATTAACTTGTGCTTTATTCCTCGTCATCGAAATGAACGAGAAACATTGTATTATTCAGTTTTATAAACTAACCTTAATATGGCAATCATTATGGCATATTACTGTCGTCATACATTAGATAGTTAAAGCTTTCCGATAGGTAAGTACATACATTCATGTTGTAACTTTTGTTAGTAAGTACATAGGTTCTATACAAGCACTAATTACTAAATAGTTTATTATTACAAGTCAAAAGACTTGAGAGTCTCAATTAAAATTTCATTCTTGGGTAAGGGTTCAACTGTAATAAATTAATTCATATTACATTATTAATTATTCCTAAACGTTTATGCACTGTCTAGCGCATATATACATCACTCCACTAAATTCAAATTATAGGAACCCAAACTTCAGTTCAAGATCTAGTAATCGATCTTTAAGAGCCACCTTGAGTGATAAAATTCAAGCTCTAACTAACTCTTATTATTGATAATACATTTTGTAATACACCGTTAGTTGTTTTCATGAAGGTAGGAAAAAGCTTGGTAAGACATAAAATAAAAGTGGATCAAAATGCTTACCAGTCATTATAAAATAACAAAGGTATCTACAGATAAATGCGTTGTATTTCATAACAATTAAACGTCGTTTTCAGGATTCCAATGTTTGTGTCAATGTATAAATATATGTTGCCTAGCTTATAAATAACAATAAATAAAAATTTTAAGGCACATCTTTAGGATATCCAAGATCACAATTTCATATTTTTTTAAACAGTTGGAAATTAAAATAGTTATGGAATGTCTACTATATTTTGAAATGAGTCGTCAATTGGAGATTCTTCTTTTACTAGATTTGCTATTAGAAAAATAGTAATAATTATAACTATTTATACAGTTAGGTACTTAAAAAATATAAGCGCATACATTAAGTATTTCTGCATTGTGCAGAATAACAATACCGACACAATTTACAAATATTCATACCGTAATTATATAATATGCAAATTTTGCAAATATGCTCCTAAAACTACTTAATAAATAAATTCAAGTGAAGGTATATCGTTGTTGACATGAATAATAATAATTATATATTATATTGTCTACAAAGTCTGTCAATTTGTCACATTTTATTTACACTGGTTATATTTACAAAGTGTCCTAATTCGACACGTCCTGCGCGCGTTCAACGTTCCTCGTCACTATCAAATTTTTCACCATACACAGTTATCGTTTACTGATATTTATACGAAGATGGCAATATTAAGTCTCCAAAAGTATACAGCGCGCTAGCATACCAATGGACACCACGAGGTACCTCTTTGGTGCTGCTCCATCCTGCCATCCACCTTAGTGGAGCCATAGCCGCGTGAGCCAGCGAGTGACTCCTGACGAGCGCGTAACAGGATGCTAAAGCATCATCTACTATTATAGTCCCTGATTTAGTTAGGGGTGCGTAAACACCGTGTTTCGACGTTATTCGAGTATTGACCACTCTCGACGGTCTCATCACACTCCCCGGCCCTCTCGTTAAGAGGACATCGCCAATTTGCACGTTAGTTGCGAAGGATTCCCGCCACCCGTCAGCGGCTGCGAGGAGCAACAGGTGCGACGGCGTCGTCGATATTGTCACGCCATTTTCCGCAGTTATTTGTATAAACTGCCTCGTGGCGTTCGGGTCTCGATCGATGAATGTCAGAACCTGAAATGGAAAGAATGACTATGAAAATTTGGAATACCATTAATTTGGTATCATATAAGAATAAGGTTTTATTCTATATTGAATAAAGAAAATTTTAAAAATAATTTATTGAATTTAAAATAATTAATTTAAACTGACTTCAATTGTGGCAAAATTAGTTATTTTAATATTAAAACTTAACCACTTAACCGATTTTAATAAAATTTCTATGGGATCAGTCTGTAGGTAAGTATATCTTTTTAGATAAAAAAGAATTTTTAAATCAGTTTCTAACGAACTGCAACATACTATAAAAAAATACAACCGAATTGGGAATCTTCTTCTTTTGAGTTGATTGAAAATATAATTTTATACTTATATAAAAACCTAAATATGCGAAAATATTTTAAGACTTACTTATCTATTTAACTATAAAAAAATACAAATTTAAATCCTTGTATTTGACATTATTACAAATTTTAATCGAACACCCATTTTCAATTAACATTTTTATATAATATTACATCACTCTAGGGAGAATGTCTATAAAATATCATATGTATTATAAGTTATTACAAAGTAGAAATGTAAATAGATCTCTCTATTTTATTCCTATTTTCTAGTAAAATATATTACATAAGCATAAGGTAATATTAAAAGTATATTAATACATTCATATATTTCTAAAGAAATTCCTTTATGATCCTATATGACGTAAATAATCCAATATCGCAATAACAAAGTGTTATTTATACTCCATCTACGATGATTAGCTCCATGCTGACAAGTATTCATTTGATAGATTGCTATTGGCAGTAGTAAACAAATATATACATACTGACAGCTATTGAGTATTCGTTTATTTTGATAAATATATGTTTATTGGTGAAAATGATATTAATTCCTCCGAGTCTTTTTCATCCCCTGAATATTTGAGACAACGGTGAAAAGATAACACTAAATCACGCGTCATGATTATATATATTATATCTCTATGTGACAGAGCCTAGCTTTCAATTATTCGTGTACACCATTTAACACCTTTATAAATTGATTAAAAAAATAACCTATATGTATTGAAGGTATTTTATTACACGTTGAAGTATATTACATACACTGCAGAAGCACTTTACATACATTGATAACCTAATAGTTTATAAGCATAGTTTGGTAGTTTTGTTTTTGATTCTTGTTTTGTATGTAGTTTTTATCATTAATTCTTTTTGTAGTAAAAATCAACCTATTCTGTTTCATCTCTGTGAATGTTGAGTACAACTATAATTGGATTGCAAACTTATAATGCTATTGTTGTATTCTATTGTTAAAAGTTTTGTTTGTAATCTGTTGTTGTACCACAAAAATAAATAAATAAATAAAGTTAACTAAGTATTCTAATGATGTTACACAACGTTCTACATCTATGTCTATAGACAAATGAACACTACCTACCTATAAACACTCTTATGAGTAGATTAAGTACAGTTAATATGCTTACCTCTGAATATATAAGTTTGCCGTCATCATCAGCGGCTAAAACTCTATCGCCCTTCTGGATAGCAGAAATATCACGGGTTCCGTTAGTCGTGTACACTACGGATCCAGAAGGGAAACATCCAGCTCCAGTCCCAACGGAAGATTCTGGAATGAAAAATAAAAAATCATTGAAGATAATAAATTATTAAAATTTGATATAAGTAAAAAATGTCAAATGAAAGTAATTCGTATGTGCCGTGCCCAATACAAAACAAGACAACAGCAATAAAATAAAATCGAGAACATAAAATCGTGCAAGGGTCGATAGTAAATTAGCTCGGAGCAGTCATATCCCTTTAAGGAATAACGAGATTTCTCTACGCTCGTAATTAAAATCCGATAAGATACGAAACAAAAGAGAATCGCAGACGCTCGCTGTTGCCAGCCGAAGGTTATCGGCACGCCATGCGCCAAGTAGCTTCAGGTTCTGTTTTATACAGGTAGGTGCCTAAACCAGCGGATCCAAACGTGACATAGACGTGCCTTGCAAAACTCACAATAATCGTATTTTCAAAGAAAAGGCGATTATAAGCTCATAGACAAACTTTTTAAGGCGATAAACAAATTTGATCCGTTTTGTAAATTCTTTCAACGCATTGTTTGTAAAAATGGACACCAGAAACAAAGCATCAATCCCTGGTTTTCTGAACTTGTTTATTTAATATTTAATTGTATTTATTTTAATCCGTATCCAGCTTAAATTGTGGCTGTTTGTATTCTTCAGTCGATGCAAAAAAAGTGTGTATTTACGTGTGACTCAATGCTATTCGAAAGATATGCTTTGACCATTAACTATAAACGTGTACCTTCTGCCGCTACATTAGCGACTATGCGCATGTACAATAGACCAAGTAAGTATTAAGTGGCGAGAATGGAAAGTACACAGTATGCCGCACAAACCTTAAACTTTTATTTACAATTACTGTGAGTGGTGTAATTATACGCGTAAATAAACACGACTAAAGCATCTTTGCAGGGCGGCTGTAGATGCACGGCGGTATTGGCGTCGTTTGCACGAGCTCGTTAAATTTTGATTTGTTGTGTAACCGACCGATAAATACAGTCAATCCTCGATCACAAACTATTTACAATGAGATGGACCCCCGATCGCATTACACAATAACCACACAAATTAGATTTCGTTCAAAGTCAAGCGCGTATTGTCGACGTTTGTTTATTGTTGGGCGAGCATATCACACGCATTATTGAATAGGTGTCGGCCGCCTTTACGTGCGTTTTTTTTTTTTGCAGTTCATCTTTTATGTATGGTTTATATTGCAGGAAAAGTATTACTGTTCATATTTATGAAAGGTAGAGTATAAATTACGAACAAAAATAGTATATTTAAGTACTATTTTTGTTCGTAATTTATACTCTTGATTTTATTGTATTTTTAAATTAAGTACATGCTGGCAAGGCATCTGTCAATATTTATTCTCTTTTCCCTTTGGTCTAGTATTATTATATATGTATATATTTTTATACACACATTATATAATGGTACATTTATATAATGGTTATCGCGATACCTACTTGAGTTATTAGGTATAATAGTCGGTATACCTAATAGGCTATAAAAAGCTTTTCCCCAAACAAATTCATGAATAAATAAATTTATAGACTAATTCGTAACAAAATAAGCATAATATGAGAGATAATGGTAGTTTTCTGTACCCATAAAATTTAAGGACCGGATTACCTTTATTCATGTAAAATATTAAAATCCGCGATCCTACCTTCATAAGCCTTTAAATGGTTACGGGTACGACCTTAAAACCGGTCAAAGTACGATTTCACAGTGACGTAAGTAACGTTAGGCTGAAGATGCGACGATAAGCAGCGCGGGCGCTGCGGGATGCGAGGCGCGCGGGGGGCGGAGCGCCGGCGCAGCCGAGTGGCCGCGGAGACCCCGCCCCGCGAGGACCACCGGGAGAGCTAGGCGGCGCGGTGCCCCGCCGGCCTCCGCCGCCTCACCACTCACCACGCATCGCCACCACGACAAATGTACGCACGTGACACTATTCATAATTCATCTAAATAGATGATAGGTCTCATCGGGACACTTCTCACCGAAACACCCATTTTTAAACATGCAAAAGAATTGTTAACAGCAAGCTGCTAAGAGACTAGCTGCTATATCTCAAAACATCTATCTCGTCAATGATTAACTACTGTAGTTTCTTTTTATCAAGTAAGTAGACGCTTCCTTGAAAACATCCCTAGTTACAGAAACTATTTAGGTAATGTAGAAAAAAATCTATCTACTCATACTCCGAAATACGGTCGTTTTTTTTTCAATAAAGTTTCCGATCGTATCAGTGAAACTCAGATTTATATCGTATGGAATATCAATTAGCCGATGCGCGGTCATGCAAATGCCAAACCGCGCTGGCTATGATTCATGCGCCCGCGCCGATCGTCGTTATATGGGTACAATCCTTACAATGTTTTAAGAGAAATGAATACTTATTGCCCGTATCATTTTCTCTGATGGTTTATGACTGTATTGTCAATATATATCTGCTACTTGTCAGTACCCACTTATGTCCAAATTTTTATTAAATATTATAGACATCGACAAGACTAATTAATTACCTAGTATTTATTGTTACGAGTACCTATTAATTTTTCGATCAGAAACTAGTTTTTGATATTTATGTCAGTTCTAATAGAATTTTTATTTTATTTGGTAAAAATATGTATATCTTGCCTAAGTAGAGATCACAGTCTAAGCTATTTCCTCGTGAAGATGTCAACTATCTGATACAAGTCACGATTCGAGACAAAAACTTTATCTGTATCGTCACAGTAGTTTCATGCAAGAGCTAATGTCCTCTACCCTTATAGGTATGCGCATCTCTTGTTTCGTATATTTATATATAAACTTCTATTACCAATTTAAAGAAATTAAAATTATATATAAAATAGAAAAGACCTTTTAGCATTATTTAATTAGGTACACGTGGATGAAAAACAGAATAAATCAGTTTTGTCGAATCTACATTCAAATGCAAATAATATTAAATCATTTTACGATGTACACGAGGCGAGCAGTCTTTGTAGCGAATTTATAAGTACAAATAAGCGACGCTTTCTAATATAATATGTATTTATGTCTCGGATTATCATAAATCACTGTTCTTTGAAAGTTATGAATTTTAAATAATACAAATTACCATACTTAAGTACGCATTGTAAATAAGTACAGTAGATAGGTATAGATATAATTAGATATTTGCAAAATAATACAGGTTTCGTGACCCAAATTTTATTAATATAGTAAAATTGTAACTAAATGATGTCTGTACTTACATGGGAGGTATTTAAGAAAAATAAATATGCTGTCTGTCTGTATCTTTGTTCCAGTATCATGCAAAAACTATTACACTTTTCAGAGTTATATTTCTGTAGAGCTAACTTGTTTTATCTCAATGCGCCATCTATAAGTGGTCTAATTCATTAGTCTTTCTACGTCTAAGATCTATGCATACGCGTAGAGGTTATAAAGCTAATACGAAAAAAAAATTTTAAACAATAAGAGATAATTGTATTTCCATTATACAATTTATAAATAGATAGGCACTCATAGATACTATCTAAATATATTGACTTATACTATTATCAATTATATTATATTAATTATATTATAATTATATCACCCCTCTTATAGAGGAGGAGGTTTATGTTCATCAATGGTTCATATGATGACGATGATAATGATCGTGTAGTTATGGTCGAATCAGTCTGTATAGACTGTATAGACATACTAATATAAAGTGTGTGATCCAAAAAGAAAGCACAAAGTCATTGTAGGTAATCCTGTCAATTTGCTTGAAAATCTATTTGCCTATCACACATTATCTTATTCTGTCGTTACATAACTCGCTTAAAAACTTTTGTTTATGTAAAATATCTTATATCGAATCTTAATTAAAGAATATATTCATCTGTATTACCTATAGAATTGCCTATATGACAAAAAAATAATAATAATAATAGATATGTAGTTAATAAAATTACTGTATTTGGTGAACGAAAATAAAACAAATACGACTACAGGTATACCTATTATACAATTTAAATACAAGTATACAAGTTAAATCTCGCTGACTCATGTTTCAAATAAAATTATAGATTGCGATTTAAATTAATTTTAATTTCTTATGTTTTATTGCATTATACTCATATTATAATGTATAAGGACTTTTATAATACGAAAATTTTTACTTGTGACCTTTAAAAAAAAAACAATTAAACGGTGAAGTTGATTCAGAAATGTTTTCACATTTCTAAATAGAATATAAATTAGTGAAAAGCATTAAAATGGTATAAGAAATTAAATTTTTAAAATAACCGCATTGGGTCCATTTCTTAAATTTTATTCTCTAAATCTATATCCAGATTAACCTATCTTGAAAGAAAACCGTGTTTTAGAAAATGTAATTTATTTTAAACAATATCTCTCAAATTAATGATTTTTTGCACACTTGAATGTGTTGAAAACCATTAGTTATACCTAGAATAAGTCCAAATGACACCAAAATAAAACAATTAATTTATGTTATATCGGACAAATTTGCTTGCGAGCACAGTTAATTCAATCTAGTGGCACGTTGAGTAAGACTTTATTTACCATTAAATAATTCGTGTTAAGATTCGACAAACCACATTAGTAATGTGTACTGAACACGAAAGTTAAACAAATATAAATAAATCAAGAGCCAGTTAATGTTTAATCACTAAACAACACGATCAAGACGCATTGGGTGCGTGTGGAAACATTGCGCCGTCCAGCCGCAACCTTCCGGGATGTCGCGTCTCGAATGTCATGGGGGTTTCGCACGCAGCCTCCACCGAGGACAGCGCGCTTCACCGAACATCGCTCACTCGCGCTTCTATCCTTCAACATTCTTTACCGAATTCTTTCCCCTATAACCGGTACAGTGCGGATATTGCATGCTAAGTCTACACAGTGACCATAACGACATTAAATCTCTAATAAACGACTTTGACATCTACAATGTTTTATTATCGTCTTTCAATTTTAATTCTAATAAATAAATAAAATACAGTCTATATATAATCGTATATGTTCCACATTTATT